TGTATACATAAGTAATGATCATAATGGCTAACACATATGACTATGCAACTTACTATGTTGCAGTTATGAACTCATTTAATTCTCCTACATTGGTGAGGTAGGTACCATTATCATTTCTACATTCAGATGAGAAAAACAAGGGACAGAGAAGTTAAGTGACTTGCCCAAGGTCACAGAAGGACAGTTTCAGGCAAGAGTCTGTGTTCAACAAGGATCAGAGTGAGGAGTTCTAGGCACCTGCAACACCCAGTCTCTCCCTAATTTTATGTCTCTTATTCCATTGTTTTCTCAACCCCTACAAACACAATTGATGTCTCAAGTGAACAAAGTTGGAAAATAAAAAAGAAGCTCTCTGGCTTTGGAGCCTAGGTTTTTAATTGCTTCATATAGTGTCCGTGTATACAGATATTTCTCTGTAATACAGGTATTACTTTATATATAGTATACCATTTTTTTTCTAATTTTCACAATTACCCCTTTTAAGGTCATTATATAGCAAAGAATTCCACTGAAGTTGCCATTATTTATTTAATCATCTTCCTCTTTGCTATTTAGACTGCCTCTTCTTTTATAAAACACACAACACAAATATTCTTAAACATATATTTTTATGCCTATTTATCAATTTTTTTCTTAATAAATATCCAGAATGAAATTGTAGAGTCAAAGAACACCAATAACATTAATGCCCTCACATGCCAGAGAATAGATGGCTCTCCCCAAAGGCAGTTTCAGTTTACACTCCCATGAATGCTGAGCCCCTACAAAGCCACCAATAACATTTTATCATCTTTAAAAGTCCCCACTTGATTCCATGGTGACTGGGTGTTGACCTCCATACATTGCGAGGAGAACATTTTTTCTTGGTGTGTGTATTGGCTCTTTGCATTTACATATACATTTTTGGTTCATTTCCTTTGTCTATTTTTTTAGAGATGGAAAATTGCAATCTTCCAAACTAAACTCTTTTATTTTGCAAATTACTTTTTGAACACTTTTTTTTCTTTATCTTCTGGTGATGGCGTCCTTTTTCTTACCTGTCATCTCTGGACGCTGGAGTCTTGGTTGCTTTTCTATAAACTCCCTGACCTTCTGGACGGTAAGAGCAAGGCTCCCACAGCCACAGCAGGGGCTCTGGGCAGAGGCTGGTGTGGGTGCATCTGAAGAACAAGTCATTGAGCCCCTGGAGGGGGCATGAGGAAGAGGAGGGTGTGGGGCTGCTGCCAAGTGCCAGATGCCTGTGGCTCACCCCTTGGCTGGAGGCTGCTCCACTAGCAGAGGCACTCTGACCGGAGCCTTGGACCTCAGGGCTCACCTGAAAAGCAGGGGTGGTGATTGATCACTCTTTCTAAGATGTAGTTGAGGGTCCAAAATGAAAGGGTGCAGTAGATGGTTATGAATTATAACAAAAGCAAGGGTTGTTATGCTGAACTATGGTTGTGGTTCTGCTTCTTCAGGGAGAGTTGGGTGGTTTGGGGTAGGCAAGTCCATGCTTGTCATGTTTGGAGAAGGTTTCACATTTGGGGGTAGATATGCATCTCCCCACCTCACGCTCTCTGAGGCTCATTTTCTTCACCTGAAAAATAAAGATAATATTAGTGCCAACGTCACTGAGCTGAGTGAGGATTAAATGAGTTAATCTGTATAAAGCATTAAGATTAGCCATTAGCACTTAGTAAGAGTTTTATATAGATTAACTCTTAATCTTCGCAAAATCCAGTGAGGTAGGTGCTTTTATTATCCTTATTTTACAGGGGAGGAAATTGAAACTAGATGTGTGAAGTGGCCGCCCAAGATTGTAAAGCTATTAAGTGACCACACTAGGGTAAACTTGTAGGCAGTATGTCCTGAGAGCCCGCATTTCTAACCAGTGTACCATCCTGCCACTACCTATATTGGATGAGGAGGAAAGGTTGGTAAGGGAGGAAAGGGAGGAGGGAAACCTTGTCTTTTCCTCCCTGAAGTTGACAGTCCGGCTTCCTTGAGCCCCTCCTTGCACAGCTCTCCACCAGCCACACCTCCTCCAGGAAGTCTTCCACTCATGTGATCACTCCTATTTTCTTTATTCATTTTGAACTTACGAACTTCATTGTCCATATAGTGTTTTGCAATGCTTTTAAATTTTTTAGTCAATTCAGTGGGCATTTATCAAATGTCTAGAATGCAAAGCTATAACAGTAGGATGGGGTATGCAGACAGGGATTAAATCCAGTTCCTCCCTGCCAGGCATTGGTAACCTTGTCCAGGACATAGACAAAGACAGCCCTGCCAGTGAAAGAGAAAATGAGATCAGCGTTGTAAAAGAAATATGAACAACGTTCTACAGAAGTATGGGGAAAATAATGGTTAATTCAGACTGGGGGTGGCTGGCTTTGGGGCAGGGCAGCTTCACAGAGCTTGAAGGATGGCTAAGACTTGAAAAGGCAGTGTGGTAGGAGAGTTATAGGAAACTGACTTCAGTAAGCACAATGCAGTGATGGTGGTGGGGGCAGGCAGGAGTGAAAGCAGGGAGACAGATTAGAAGGCTGTTGTACTTGTTCAGAAAAAAAGATGAGGACCTGCTCTGGCGGGTGGGGTTGAGGGGGGCAGGAGACCTGGAGACAGAAGAGGATTCAGAGGTACTGAGTGGGTAGAAGTGGCAGGACATGGCTAGCAAGTGGATGTGGGTAGGGAGGTATAGGGAGGAATCAGTGATGACTTCTAATGGTCTGTTTTGGCCACTGGATTGCTGGTGATGCTCTTCATGGAGACAGAAAACAGCAGAAGGGACAGGTGAGCATCAGGCCTGGGGATGGAGATGAGTTATGGAGATGGGGCACTTGTGCAGAGCGGTGTCAGGCCCTAAGGTAGAGATTTGGAAATCTTCTGGATGTGTGTCCCAGGTACAGAGTGTTGCCCTGGCTGGGTGGCTCACTTGGCTGGAGCATCATCCTATACACCAAAAGTTTGGGGGTTCAATTCCAGGTCAGGGCATATGTCTAAGTTACGGGTTCAATCCCTGGTTAGGGTGCATATGGGAGGCAACTGATTGATGTTTCTCTCTCTCCTTTCCTCTCTCTCTAAAATCAATAAACATATTTTTTTACACTTGATCTTAGCCAAAAGGCCAAGAAGCGATATTAATAAACATATTTAAAAAAAAAGAGTTAAGAGTGTTGAATTTGAGAGGAATGTATGAAGCAGATCAAGGTCAACTTAAAGGGTTGGAGAAAACCAGAAAGTTGTGCCAGGGAGAGGGCACAAGCGTGGCCTGGGTCACAGAGACGGAGTAAGAGGAAGGCTGAAAGGCCGTGGGGTTTGCTGTGGGAGCAGGGTGGCCCCAGACATGTGGATGTTGAAGGACAGGAGGAGAAGTCAGAATACAGTGGGTGGAGGAGTGAGTGGGGGGTGATGAGGAGAAAGAGGGTGAGGGGAACTCTTTCAATAAATTTGGCTAAAAAAGGCAAGACCAAGCAAGAGACAGCTGGTGAAGGGAGAGAGCAGATCATTTTCGGCCGGGAAAAGCCTGATCTTGCTGCTATGTTGAGAAGGACTCAGTAGAGAGAAAGGTTGTGAGCATAGCGAGTCTGTGCCTCGAGGCTCGGCCAGGCCCTGTGAGGAAGGCAGCCTGCTGGCCTGAGAGGCTGCCCTGCCAAGCCGATCTGCCGCCATGCAGGCCTCAGCTCCTTCCACACTCCTCCAAGGGCTGTGTTGGGCCTTTGTTTTGCAAAGGTAGCCTCAGATGGCAGAAGCGCTGACCCGGGACCTGGCCGGAACCTCCTCTGTCTCCACGGCTTCAGCCTGTATTTAGCAGCAGGAAGCTTTCCTTGGGTCTGTGCTGCCAACAGTTGCAGCTGTGAAGTAGGGCGGATCGTGAGACTTACCTGGCACTGGTGTGACTCAGTTGAAGCCTCAGGCCTTGGTGCCCAGCCAGAGGGCTGGGCTAATTTAACCAGGGCCTGTGGTCAGGCTGTCACCTAGTGTTGAGTTGGGTGTATAGCAGGAAGGCTGCTACAAGGCACTAATTGTGAATGAGGGATAGGCAAGAAAGATAGAAAACCAAAAAGCCCGTATAGAAGTCAGACTTCAGAGCATCTCACCGTCCTGAACCAGAAAGAGAACGCCTTTCGGGTAATAAAGACAAATGGGAAGTTACCAGTTAGCCTGCAGCCAGAGGCCAAACAAACAAAATGGCACCAAGTTGTAGTTCAAGGGGCACTCCCCCCACCCCCGCACTGTCTCTCATTTGATGCTTTGAGTTAGTTATTGTAATTTTCTCTAATTTACAAATGTGATTTGTCCATGGGAGGTTTAAAATATTTGTTCCTGTCAGTCGCCTCTTAAATGGCAGAGCTGGGATTCGAACTGGGGTTTTCAGACTTTGAGAGGCCAGGTTGGGAAGGTACTGAGTTTCATTTCAGGAGCAATAGCAGCCATCCAGGCAGAAGTAAGCATGAAGTGTGCAGGGTCTGGGCAAAACTGAATGACAAGAGACCTGTGCTGGGAGACCCAGAGGCAGAGAGTGAGGCTGGAGGTGAGAAGCCCCAGCACTGCCCAGGGTGTGAACAGATGGCCACTGGGCTTCAGGAGGGGTTTGCCAGTGAGACAAGGTCCAGCAAGTTCTGCACAGAAGCCAGGACAGGGTCAGCACCAGACAGCAGGGGCCTTGAGGGGGAGGGGCCAAGGGGTAGCGACCGGCTGGTCAATGACAGACCCGGTCAGTGACTGCTTGGCTAGCTAACCAGCAGCTGGAAAGGAGGACCTAAGATTAGAGAAATGCACCAGCAAGTAGATGGGGCCCTAAGAGCAGGCAACACCAGGGGAGTGAGGGCTGGTGCATCTCCTGGTAAGATCACAGGAGAAGAGAACTCAGCCAGCACACCTGCTGGCAGGCACCAACTAGGAAGGGAAAGGAAGGGGCCTCTGAGGACGCTGGCAGGTGGGTAGAACTGCCTTCCATTCAGAGCCTGGGGTGAGAAACAGCACAAATGTTTTCTTTTCACCTACCTGAGCCATGTTGGTAAAGGTGCAGGACCAGCACCCAGGGGCAGGTAGCAGACCCTTGCTGAGAGAAAGAAGGAAGAATTCCAGGTTGCAGGTGCCACCAGGCCAATCTGCATCTTCAAATACGTCAGGGTAAGGACTCTGCATTTGCTACGGCTTTCCACTCCCACCACTTCCTAATTACATCTTTTTGTTTTGCTTTCCTCTTGGTTTCCCAAAGCAAGGTCCTTTTGAAAAAAGTATACATCTGCCCCTTTTTTTAAAAAAGAAGGCAGACTAATTTGTTTCCATGAAGAGCAGGATAACTAAAGGGACAGAACATCTCTTGGGGCCCAAGCCTTAGGGTTCAAGTCAGAAAGTTGGTAAACTGAGTCAGGGAAAGAGGAGCAACTTGGGAAGAAGCCTGGCAACATGGGGTCTGTGCTGATGTCACCGATGATGACAGCACCCCTTGGGGGTCCTGCTCCCCCTCCTCCCAATACCCCCACCGGCCCCTCTCCTTTCCACACACACTCAACATCTCCCTGCTTCTCCGTTCATGATGATGACTAATTAGGCATATAGCAAATTAGATCCTGTTGGTAATCTATCAATAATTTTAACCAGTGCCTGTGTGCCTAAACCTTTGCTATGTCCACTCAGAATGTCTTAAAAACTTCTTTTAAATGAAAATCTAGCTACACAAATAAGATGGACCCATTATGGGAAAGTCAGGGAAGAAGTATAGAGAGGAAAGTATAAATCAGATTGTCTTTTTGGTAAATTAAAAAATAAACAACCTTATCTTTGATGACCTGTGAGTTCCTCCCACTTCTCCCAGCCACTAAAGGGTCCTAGTGCTATGGTGCCTTGGGTGCAGTGAGCACTCATCAATACTTGTGGGGTGGCTGTTCTTGTCTGGTGCCCAGGGAGCTCCAGGCTGCCAGTAAACATTAGATAACAAGGTATGTGGTACCCTGTGGCATAGTGGTTAGGGAGTTGTCTGAATTCCACACAGTCTTGTTTTTTCTAAGTTTCCTGCCATGACAACCAGCTCAACCCTGCAGGAAGTGGCTTTGGAGGGTGCTTCTGGATCACCTGACTGTGAGTCTCTCAATGGCCAGATGATGAGTACCTACTATGTGCCAGGCACTGTGCGGCCTACTGGGGGTGTAAAGATGAAGGCTGTTGGAGACAGGACCCACAAACGTACTGGATTGCCCCCTGACTAATGTGGTGCTGGAGTTACACACAAAACACTGGCAGAGCAGAGAGGGATGGCTGTGAGGAGGAGTCACTTCAGGGAGGCTTCCTGAAAGAGGAGGCCTGAGAGGCAGTGCCATGCAGTAGGTTGGGGGTTTTGGGGCCAGGCAGAGAAAAGAAAAGATATTCTAGACAAAATGAAGAATAAGAGCAGTGACCTGGAGGTATGACGGCAGTAAGTGTGTTCCAGGAACACCAGAAGGTCCTTCCATGGCTTACATTTTGAAATCTGAGCTGCATAGTTAAAGAGGGTGGCTGCGCTTCTCACAGCGTGTGTGAGCAGCAAGCTGTCCTGGACGCGTGGAGGGTCCTCTCCCTCACTCGCCTTCACTTGGTCTCAGGTTTACTGATTTAATGAGCAAAGAACAGCCATGTCTGCTTGTGTTGGCCAGGCCCCCTTCCAGTGCCTCCTTCCCTGGGGCCTGGACAGGTTGTCCAGAGAGATGTGGCTGCCCTTCTCTGGCCTCTCGCTGCACCCTGTCCTTGCTGCGGTCCTGGCCCCTGCACATTGACTGTCTCTATTTCAGGGTCTTTTTTCTCCACTGAGAAAAGTGAAGAAACAGGCAAGAGGTGTGCTTGGTTTGTGCTGCATCCCCAGCATCTGGCACTGCACCTCACATAGAACACACACTCAGAAAATGTTCAGTCCATCCACTTGTTCTGTGAACACATCCCAGTCACCCAGCAGACCCCAGCTCAGTTTTCCCCTTTAACCTCATTAGGGATTACGGTAGGACTTTAACCATTCTGACACAAGGGTCAGGAGGTCCATGGCACAATACATTGTCCTCATAAACCCCAATTAATGCTTGATTGAGAAGGTCACAGTCCAAGCTTATGTAACAAGAACCCATTATTCGATTGATTAAAACAGGTTTTCAGTTGGCGGCTTGACAAGTGCATGCTGCACAGCCTCTCCCACCCCACCTGCAGGGCTAGTACGTGACACATTTGGGTGGCGAATGCTTGGAATGCCTAGAAGATCTGGCTCTAGCCATCGAGCTGCGTGCTGCTGCTACAGGTGACAATTGTGACCTGATTCCTGGGGCCCTTTGCTCCTAGGGTGGGCCTTGGAATCCTGCCCAGTTGCTGAACCAGCTGTTGAACAGCCCCCCAGGGAGTGGGAGAGGATGAGAAGTGTGTCTCCTGGGTCCTGTCCGGTTGCATCACTGACCCCATTTTGGAGCCCTGTCCCATGACTTTTCATACTAATAGTCCACTGAACATTCAGGACATTTTTATAAATTCTTAATTCCAAGTGGGGAGTTTTCTGATAATGCCCTTGCAAGGGTGGATGGATGAATGGATAAACAGAAGGGTGGGATATAAGCATGAACAGATAGTATATCGCCAAATGGGTTAGCAGGTGGGTGGTAGAATATGTGGACAGACGATGCGCGGGAAGTCGGCCTGTGCTTACGGCCATGCCAGAGACGGAGGTCCTGCAGCAGTTGGGGTGCTAGCGCATGCTGCTGCCACAGCATCACCTTAGTTTCTGAAGGCTTGCCATGAATGACCGAAAGGCTGAGCATAAGGAGGTAACACTTCCATTTATTTTTTCAGAAAACAGCAATAAATTGAATGCAAGTATTACTTCTTCAAAGATTTGCTTCTTATCCACACTTTCAAGTATGAAAATGCTTTACCTTCCTGTCTCAAAATTGATGAGGAGGCCCCATCTCCCCACAGAGGAGAGAGCGACAGAACCTGCACACGGAGCACCTTAAGAAAAGTACACCTATAAAAAATCTATGAACAATAAAGCAACCCTGCAAACAGTTCGACAAGTGTCTCCCTCATAAATCCACCGCTCAGAGCGAGGCTTGTTGTTTCGTGTGGCTGTGCTCACCCATGGGAACTGCACACAGCTGCAGCCGCCACCCGCATTCCTGCCCGCTGTAACCTACTTTCCTCGCCTAACATGATGTCACGCGCATTTTCTAGGTTGCTACATAGTCTTTATAATTACTTTAAATAACTGTAAAGTATTCCACTCATTATGAATATTTAGGTTACTTGTTTTGTTTTTCCTTTGATCATTTTCACGAATTAACAAGTGTCAGGTATTTCACCCAGTGCCTGGCAAAATGGGTAGACTTAGTAGGTGCTTTATTTTCTTCCTACCTCTCTCCTTTACATGTGTCTTTACATTTGGGTTTTTGTTAGGATACATTTCTTGGCATAAATATTGAGTTCAAGGGTTTCAATAATTGCATGGCTTTCCACACATATTGCCGTCATGTTGCTTAATTAATTAAAATAATGATGGTATAAATAGCTCCACAGTTACACATATTATCTTATAAAACCCTCCTACCATCTCTAAGGGGTAGCCATTACCCCATTTTAAATGAAAAAGCAGAGGTTCACAAGTTTAAAGTAGTTTGTCCATCATCCATGTCTGTTCTGTTTTCTTCTTTCCTCCCAGGGCCTGGTGCAGTGAGTGGCACAGGGAATAACTCAATAACTATTTGTTAAATAAAGCCCACCAATGGGGGTGTCATGATTCAAACTCGGATCTATTTCACTTCAAAGCCTGTGCTTTTTCCCTTAACACTTGCCAACTGGCTTAGGTCATTCATTGGGGTAGGGGTGGAGAGTTAAAAATGCAGGTGTTGCTATACCTTTCAATGAGGAACTCAGGCTTAGTGAAGCACCTGCTCAGGCTCAGGGTGAACATGTGAGAGCTAATGCTGTGCTGTGGGGGGCAGTTTAGTGGCCCAAGTATAGATACCCTAGGACCGTCCCTGCTTGGCTTGTCCCTGAGCTTGCCCCTGCAGAGCTGTTACATAGTTCCGAGAACAGTGCTATAGGAGAATGGTCCTAAATCCTTGGTGGCTACACTAAATGTAGAGGGTTTGCTGTTGTCTCCTGGTCATGTGACTTGATAATGCTTTTATGGAAATGCTATCCTCATTGCAATCGCTCTCTGAAGTCCAGCTCTATGGGCGGAGGAGGCAGAGGGGCCCCCTGGCCTGAATTCCCTTCGGTTCTATTTTTCCTAGTTTGGGAGGATGCCTCCCAAAGAGCACTGGCCCCAATAGTCCCAAGCAGTCACTTCCTGAGGTCATGTCCTCCTGGCATAAAGCAGGAACCTGTACCCCATTTCTGTTGCTTGGATGTATGTGCTGAGTGCCAGAATGGTTCTTCAGAGACCCTGTAAAGGATAAAGCCTGTCCACTGATGCTTCCTGGCCAGGCAGAGGCAGGAGAGGTCAATGACAGGGCTGGCCTCAGGGTTATGGAGGAGACCCAGTGTGGTAGGGCTTCCTGTGCACTGGGGATTGAAGAGCTGCTTTAAATCCTGACATGTCTGTGGAGAGAGCATGGAGAAATATCAGGAGGGGTTTGTAAGTGGAAACTTAGGAAGTGGTTACATTTAGGAGGTAATAGGGGTGGTTGTCATCAAAGGGATAAGAGGCAGTCACAGAGCTGAGAGATTGGGTGATAAGGGGCCAGGCCTCCCAAGCAGTCCCACTCCCATATACTGAGCACTGGCTACGTGCAGTGCTGCTCAGGCTTGGGAATAAAGTAGTGAATGAGACAGATGTTTGTCCTCGAGAAGGTGCCACAGTCTACCTGGGAGGCAGAAGCCCAGAAAACAGCAGCAACAACAACAACAACTAAACACAGCATAGTAAGTGTCCCATTTGTGAGATGATCTGTGGGCACCTAGAGAAAAGGATGAGATGCCAAGGATCTGCAAACACTTTGAAGAAATAACGTTTGAACTTTGGACGAGGGCTCAACTGGTATAGAAGAACCGGCAGAGCAACCTAGTCCGAGAGAAAAGCCAAGCCCCAGAGGCTCACAAGGACGTGGAGGAATCCAGTCTTTGGAGGGAGGAGGAGGCTTCCAATGGAGGGGATGTCAAAAGTGGCAAAGGCCTGTAAAAGGCTGAGCACGATGGCCAGGTTGTCACCAGAGTCAGTGCAACCTTGAGTGTGTGTGAATGTGCGTGAGTGTGTGTGTGTTGACAGGTCTCAAGCCCCAAGGCAGTGGGGAAAGACTGAGAGGATGTGAATAAGTAGAAGCTCCTCTATCCACTCCTTCAAAAGAGGACTCATTAAGCACCTACCACACGTGAGGCATGCAGAGAAGGGAGGTGAAGGAAAGAGACAAAGACCCCTACCTCACGGAGCTGCCGCTAGCGGGGAGGCAGAAACGCACTGACACACACAGTCACTACAGAAAGCCGTAGGATTAGGAAGGGAGTAAACATGGTAGGCGATGCCTAATGTCGAAGGGATGCTGCTTTAGGTAGCCAGGCCCTTCAGGTCTCCCCAAGAAGGGAACATGTGAATGGAGGCCTAAAGGGTGAGAAAGCACTATAGGAGGAGGGAAACCTGGTGTATTTGAAAAAGAGAGAAGAGGCAAGTGGGGCCTGAGTGTAGTGAGGAGAGAGGGCTAGCAAGGTAGGAAATGATATTCGGTGCTTCTGGATTTAATCCTAAGAGCAAAGAAAAGCCACTGAAGGGTTCTAAGCAGGGAGAAGTTACTCTCATTGTACGTTTTAAAACAAGTAGATGCTGCATGAGCTTGATCTGGGGTAGCTAAGAGGAAGGGCAGAGAGGCCAGCGGGGAGGCTACTGCAGTGGTCCAGGCAGAGAGCAGGGTGGCTTGGACTAAGGCCGTGGAAGAGGAGACCGAGACAAAGTGGGCAGCTTCAAAATGTACCTGGCGATTGAATGAAAAGGACTTGATGTGTGCAGAGTGAGGAAAAGGGGAAAATCAAGGGTGACTCCTAGGTTTGGAGTCTGAGCAAAATGAGAGTAAGCTCTTCAGAAGCGTGGGTCCTGGCTTCTGGACATCTCTCCGGGGGGCATTGCTCCTGCAACATGGCCTGTGGCAGGAGATCTGGGTCCCTCCTCTCAGTTCGGGAGGATCAGAAAGATGACTCTCCCCAAGCCTTCTCTGAGAATGGCCAGGCGGGGGCTGGGGAGTGGAATTTGGCTCCTCCTGGGCCATTGGCTCAAGCTCCTGTAGCCAGGGGGAAATGCAGGCCACTTGAGTTTACCCAGCATGTATTTATTGAGCACTTGTTGTGTGCCAAATGTTGTTCAGGGTGTTAGGGATATAGCAGTGAGTAAAACATCCAGACTGCCTACCCCCATGGAGCTTATGTTATAGCTAGGTACACTAACAACAAGAAAAAGAATAAATAGAGCATATCAAAGAGTTACAAGAGCTGTGGAGGACAGGCAGGGAGGAGGGGAGGCTGCGGAGGCGGGTGGGGGCAGGTGCCTGGGATCGCTTGCCGTCTGCAGAATGTGCAGGGGCTGCTCCAGCAAGCGGTCTCTCTCGGTCTGCGGTGGCCAAGGCGGCACCGCCCCAGCTGGGCCATCAGCCTTCCCACATCATCCCACTGTTTTCTTCTGATGATCGCAAGATGTAATAATCTTGTTTATTTACTTGTTTATTCCTTCAGATGAATTCTGGTGTGATTCCAGATGGTGTCAGTTGGGGGAGGAGGTAGAAATGGGGATGGGATTGTGAAACCTGAAGCATGACCCAAGGTGCTGAGTTCAGCCTGGGAAGGTTCTAGACTTGGATGTTGATTTCAGTCCTGGGTTCAAGTTGTGGAGATTCTTATGACTGGAGACTAGGGAAGTGTACTCGTGGGAGAGCACACTCAAACCCAAAGTGTTTCTCCAAAACCCTGAGGTGAGGGTTTTGGAGGGTCCTGGCTTCTGGACATCTCTCCAGGTGGGCACATTGCTCCTGTAACATGGCCTGTGGCAGGAGAACTGTGCCCTTCCTCTCAGTTTGGGAAGATAAGAAAGATGACTTCCCTGACAAGACTTCTCTGAGAATGGGACTGGGTGAGCTGGGTGGACTCACCCTCTTGGTCCAAGCAGGGATGCAGGAGGACAGGGTTTCCAAACGCTGTTACGTAGTTAAAGCCTGGCTTGCTCCTGATTGAGTGCCAAAATGTCGGAAGAGTTCAAACAGGCAGGACCCCTGCCCCTGCACTGACCTCAATCCCATCCTCTGCTGCAAATTGGAACAGACTTCCTTACCAGCCAGGGAGGAGCATCCTGATTTAGCAACCGAAACTCTAAGCAGGTGTTAATTAGGCCCAGGCAGCTGAGAGATAATCCTATCTTGCCATCATTAAAGGTGAGGTGAGTGTAAGGGGCCCACCCGCTACTCCCTGGCCCCTCTCCAACTTCCAGAGAAGGCTTGGGGGCTGGGACAGGGCTGCCCTGCGGTGGTTGAATGGAAGACCTTGTATACGGAGCAGAGCCCCCTCCCACTCAGTGAGCACAGGGGAGATGGCCCAGCTCAGACCTTGGGAGGAGGCAGGTGTGTGTGTATAGGGACGACGCTGAAAGCCCTGGACACTGGGAGTTGGTCTCAGCAGGCAAGGAAGGGCCTTTCTGGCAGGGAGTGCCACCTGCCCCTGCTCCATCCAGCTGGTCTTATGTGGAGCATTTTCTCTTATCATTTTCTTCTTATCAAAAATACAATAAACACACGCACACAACCTCATATACACATTACTTATCACAGGTGCTTTGGAGGTGGGAAGTGACTTAGAAGAGGTATGATGGCAAGCACGAGACTAGAATTGGGAAGTTAAAGTTATAGGTCTTATTAGTTGATTCTTGGTTATGTGATTGTGACCAGGTTACTTAAACTGTGCTGAAATATCCAGAACTACAAAATGCGTATTTTTAAAAATTCATTTTTATTTTGAACATTTGCTATGAAGAGCTAAGACCATA